ATCGCACTCGCGTCAAGCCTTCAGGTTCGCGCACTTCGCACCGCGCCCCTGCTGCATCGCGCCCGCGTGCGCGCGCAGGAGGCAGCACAAGTCCAGAGGCCAGTACCGGCGCGGGCGCAGGCCGCCGGGGGCATTGCCGTTGACGCGCTCCTCGAGACAAGGATTGCGGAGGCGCAGGGGGCCCGCGCGCCACAGTGCGGCGGGGGCCCGCGCGCGGGGCTCCGTTATCTTCGCCGGCGGCTTGACAGCGAGGAAGGCCCAGTGAGCGTCGCTGAGTGGCTGTCTTCGGCGCGCGCAGCGGCCCTCCTGGGCGCATGCCCGCGCTCCATCGCTTCTTTCAAGAGCGGCGTGGCAGCATGGATCGCGTTCGCGCGCGAGGCTCTTGCGCTGCACGGGCGCGAGCTGCCGCCGTCTGCCGACGGGTTGCTCGCGCGGTCGCTGCTGTTTCGCTCCGACCAGACCTTTTCCAATTATGTCTCTCACGTCAAGCTGGCTTGTCAGGTTTGCGATCTCCCTGTAGACGTTGTTCGTGACGCGCCCCTACGCCGCGCCAAATGCGCGATTCGCAAGCGCGGCGCTTTCCTGCCCAGGGCGCCCCTATTCATCAGGAAGGACGCAGTTTGCGCGCTGCTAAATCTGGCAAAAGAGCGGCACGAGTCCGCCGTTTTCGCGCAGCTCTTTCTTGTCACGTACGTGTTTCTCTTGCGCCTTCCTTCGGAGGCCCTGGGCATTTCGTTCGACGGCGTCGCCTTTCGTCAGGGCGCAGGGGCTTCCCTCATTCTGTGCGACGGCCTCCTGCAGCTCAAATTGGCGCGCCGCAAGAACAAGCAATTCGGGTCCGCGCTGCAGCGAGCGTGCTGGTGCGCGCGCTGCACCAAGACGCGCCCGGTCCACGCGCTCGGCGCATGGTTCGCGGACCTGCCCGTGGGCACCAGGCCGTTCGCGGACATTAGCGCGGCCAGCTCGCTGAGCACGCTGCGCTTTCTCCTCGGTCAGCTCGGCGTCAAAGACGCGGCGCTCTATCGCACGCACGACCTGCGGCGCGGGCACGCACTGGACCTCCAGCAGAGGGGAGGCACCTTGCGCGAGATCCTTCAAGCGGGCGAATGGTCTTCGCCCGCGTTCCTGTCGCACCTCGATTTGACGCAACTCGAACTCGGCGCCGTGGTCGAGGCGCATCTAGCTGAGTCCGAGGACGAACTTGCCTAGGCAATGGCGACCCAGGCGTCGCGCGACGCCCTCGCGCGCACGCCTCCGCCGCTGCGTGTCACAACACCGCGGCGCCGCCGCACGCAACACCCGTTTCGCAAGGGGTGCGCGTGCCGCGCGCGTCGCCGCTGCGCGGTGCACCAGCATGCATCGGCTGGGGGCACTTGCATCCCTGGCGCCCCGCGCGTCGGCTCAGACTGGCACCGCCAGGCTGGACGGCGCGGGGGGTGCCGCACCCCTTGTCAAGTGGGTGCGGGCACCCTCGGGTGCGGGAGGCTTTTGGCGCAGCTGAAATTTGCGGTGGGCGCCCAACGCCAGCGAAAGCGCGCGCGCTCGCTTGTGCTGCGTTGTGCGCGGGCACAAATTTCGCGCCCGCGCCTGGCCCGCGCGCGGGCGGGCAAGCTGGGCGCGCGGGCCGCCTCCCGCTTTCCTGCGCCGCGCGGCGCGCGGCCCCACGAGAAGGGCCCGCGCGCGCGAGGCGGGGGGGCGTCAGCATGTGCCTCGCGGCGCGCGGCCCCACGCGAAGGGCCTGCGCGCGCGAGGGGGGGGGGGGGAGCGACGGCACGTGCCTCGCGGCGCGCGGCCCCGCGCGAAGGGCCCGCGCGCGAGGGGGGTGCGTCGTCACGCGCGTGGCTAGTCTGCTCTTCTGCTCGCTTTGCGTCGAACGCCCCGTGCAGGCGCGCCGCGGGGATCGCGTCGGGGCGGTTCGCGGCGCGCCTCGGGGTCGTGCGATGTGCAGGCATTGGTGCTTGCATCTCGCAGGCATGTGCGCTTGCGTCCCGCCGTGGCGGACGGCGCGCGCGCTTTCGCCCCGCCCCCCCGCTCCTGGGGGTACTTGCATCCCTGGCGCCCGGCGCGTCGGCTCAGACTGGCACCGCCAGGCTGGACGGCGCGGGGGGTGCCGCACCCCTTGTCAAGTGGGTGCGGGCACCCTCGGGTGCGGGAGGCTTCTGGCGCAGCTGAAATTTGTGGGAAGCAACCGACCAGCTCTCGCGCCTAGGATCGCTGGAAACCACCAAAGGCCGCCAGAAACCGCCGAACACCGTCCAGTGGCCGCCGAAGACCGCCGAAGACGGACCAGGGGCGACGAGTGGCAAGGGGTCCATGGTCGAACACGTGGCGAAGGGAATGGTCGCGTCGACGTGCGGGTTGCGATTGGCGCCGTGGGGACCTGTACGAGCCCACCACGCTGCGCCAAAGGTTTGATGGTCGAGGGTGGACGGACCTCCTACCCTGACACGTCGATTCAGGAATCGGCCGTCCTCGGTTCGCGAGAGGGCGTCGCGGCCGTCATTCTTGCGGGTCCAGGTCCGTCGGTTTCGGTCCCAGGCCGTTTTCACCAAGGGGAGGTCTACAGTGCCGTGTTTAATACATGGTCCGCGTGCGGATCATGTATTAAAAATACAGGGATCTAGTATCAAAAACAACGATGAGCTCATACATAAATTCATTCATACATTAATCATGGATTAAATTCCTATATCTGTTTAAAATATCATATGTATTAAAAACTGCCCTGCCCACCGCCGAGAGGGGCCATCGCCGCGCCGCGGCGGGGCTCTCCGTCGAGGCCTTCGCCCGCCGCTTGCGGGCGGCGGGGACCTCCCGGGTCGCTGAGGCATGCAGCCTGTGCCGGAGGTTGACAGACCTCCCACCCTGACACGTCGATTGAGGAATTGGCCGTTTTCGGTTCACGAGAGGGCGTCGCGGCCGCCATTCTTGCGGGTCCAGGTCCGTCGGTTTCGGTCCCGGGCCATTTTCATTAAGGGGAGGTTTACTAAAGGGAGGTTTGTCCACCGCCGACTGTGCCGGCCGTGGCTGTAGCGCCTGCGTTGTGTGGCGGGGTATCCACGCTGGAGCCAGCACGCGGCCCGAGGAGAATCAGCAGGGCCCGCTTCCCCGGGGATGCCTCCTCCACGGGCGGCGATCGACGCTCGAGGCATGCCCATGCTGATGCTCCGCGCTCTTGACGACAGGGAAAGCAGGGCCTTGGAGGCCAGACATCTATTGTTCTCCCCGCGTTGGTCCCTCGTGGCATCGGGGTGCTAGCGAGGGCATGGATAAATTGTCGATCACCCACTGTTTGCCAAGTTTTAGCATTAAGTCGGGCATGTCCCTTTACAGGAGGAAACCTTGAGGCAAAGTTACAAAAGAAGTCTGGGGACGATGTGTGTACGATTGCAGACTATTGTTTGAGTTGTTTGACTATGCGACATCTTTCTTCGAAAATCCGCCTGTAGGAGGACATGCCTGACCTAACTTTAGTTTATTCGGACATTCGGCTCATCACGATCTCAGACTTCTTTCTGAGAGCTCGAAGGCTGCCCAAGAGAGGGCCCCAGCGACATCCAGAAATAGCCAAAGAGGGCGCCAAGAGAAACCAGGAGGGCCTCGGGCTTAGCCCAAAAGAGAGGCTCCCAAGGGGGCCTCCTTGGGGTCCGCCTTGGAGCTGCTCCCCGCCTGGGGGAGTCTCCAGTCGTGACGACACGGGGTGGCTCATACAACGCTTTAAAAGAGAGCCTCCACAGGGGGCCTCCTTGGGGTCCGCCTTGGAGCTGCTCCCCTCCTGGGGGAGTCTCCATTCGTGATGGCACGGGGTGGTTAATACAATAGGGACCCTGCCAAGAAACACCCTTCTTGCCTCCAGGGTGCCCCAGGTTTCTTGGGTTTCGACGGTTTTGCTGTGGAGAGCGCGACGCTCCCACACCAAAACTCAGTGGACGTCCTGGTGTCCCAGGGCGTGGTTTCCTGTGGAAGGTTTCTTGTGCACTGGCCTTCTTCTGTATGGCGCGCCTCGGTCCTCCCTCAGGGGCAGCAGTCGGGGGGCCAGGCTCACTGGGGCAAGGAGGAGGAGGAGGAGGAGCAGGAGCAGGAGCAGGAGGAGGAGGGAGGAGGAGGAGGAGGCGGAGGAGGAAGAGGAGCCATGCATCGACCCCCACTCTCGCCCATGGACCGCCTATACCGAGCCCGGGAGCCCGCCCCGCCCGGGAGCGTCCGGCAGCGCCATCGGGGGCGGGTCGCGGACGGATCTGTCGGCGAGACATCGCCATTTCCATGTCGATGTTTCCACCGCGAGCCTGTAGGAGGAGGAGGAGGAGGAGGAGGAGGAGGAGGAGGCGGAGGAGGAGGAGGAGGAGGAGGAGTAGGAGTCCCCATAGGTGATCGTTTTCTGATTCATTGTTTTGCCGATCGGCGCGGGCCCTCGCGTCCCTGCCCCTCCCCCCCCCATGGAGTAGATCTTGGCTGTTTGGGGGCCTGTTTCGAGCAAGCGGGGTCTCCCCCATAATGGACGCACTGCTGCAAACAGTCGCACCAAGCAGGGGGCCGGAGCCAGACCCCCCCCCTTTCCGCCAAATATCGAAACGCCGAGTAAAAAAAACGCTCACTAGCCCCCACACAATACGACCTAAGAGGGGCCATAGCGCAGTCCACGAGGTCTCAAAGGATGGACCAATAGTCCACCATGATACTTCTGAGATCTCCAGGGGCCCCAGCGGCCTCCCAACATCGCTCAGATGATTGCAGTATGTATCAAAAATTGGTGCAAGCCGTTTTTGGCTCAGCATTTGGGCGAAGCATTGTATTCCCATCCAGAGGGAGCCTGGCGGCGACCAGTTGGGGCGAAGCATTCTGCGCAACATTGTAGGATCCCCACTCCAGGCAAAGCAGGGATGGCGAGTTTTGTGGGCGACGTTCTCTCTTCCGTCCGCGAGCAACGACCGAGGCCAGCCTTGGCGTGGGCGGAGGCATCCAGCGTGGCGCCCGCACCGAGGCAGCCCTCGACTCCCAGGATGTCCCGCGGGCGCCCCTGCGGAGTGGGCCGCAGCGGGGCCGTGCCGGGCCCCGGCGGCCTCGGCCCCAACCAGATCCGCAGGCCTCGTGCTGTCCGACCTCCCCAGATTTCGGCACCTGTGACTCTCGAAGACCTTCCCTACATGAGGAGTTGGCCGCCGCGCAATGGGGGGGCGGTACCTGAGGGGCAGCGAGGGCTGCAGGAAAAAAGCCTTTTGAGAGTTTCTGCAGGGCCCTGAGAGGCCCTTTGGGGTCCCAGAGGGGGCTCTCAGGGCCCGCAAGATACACCTTCCTCCCCCCCACCATCGCCCCCCCCCTTACGCGACGCCCCAAGGAGGCCCGACACGTTGCTCCCCGAGCCTCGCATGGGCAGCCGCACGTCGCGCCGGCTCGTGGCCGGTGCCTTCGCGGCGCCGGGAGTGGAGTTGGCCAGCGGCGGCGCAGCGGGCAACCAGACGGGCGACATCGAGTCCACCTCCGTTCTCTCCGTGGAGTCCCCGATGCTTTCCGCCAACACCTGCCTTGGGCTCCACGGGACCAGTGCGATGGCCGGTGAGGCCGAGCGCACCCCCTGCACCTTGCTTGGGCACAATCGTCTCGGCGGCAATCCGTGCCGCCGAGAGGAGGACCGCAAGGACGATCTTCCGAGTCCTGGCCAGGGCATCTCCCGCAGGTCGGTCGGGTGGTAATGGGGGGTGATCTACATTGGGGGTGGAGAAAAAAGAAAAAGGCCCTCCGTCGTCGTCGTCGTCGCCGCCGCCGCCGCCGCCGTTGCCGCCGTGCCGTCGCCGTCGTCGTCGTCGTCGTTGCCCCTTAGGCCTTCGGACCCTTTCAGGAGCCAGCAGGGACCCTAAGAGGTCCCTTTCGGGTCCTTCGCCGGAGGGGGCTAGGACGACGACAAATCCGTTCCAGAGCGTTCTGGAGCGCTTTCTGAGCGTTCCAGAACGCTGCGGGAAGGCCGCGGCGCCCGAGACATCCTCCAGAGCCGCCGGATCTCAAAGATTCTCGATTCATCCTCACCCGATGTTATCCTCTTCTTCGTCCTGGCTTCGTCTTGATTCTCTCCTCCCCCCAGTGGAGGCCACCCCGCCACCGCCACCCGCCCGAGCAGGCCGCCCGCCTTCGACGTGCCTGAGGGGATCTCGTGCTCCCCGGGCCCCAGCTTGTTCGGCCGCGAGCCGGGTGGGCCCACGCACCCCGCAGAGGGGGCGCCCGGCCAGGCCCGCCCCCGCCACGCCACGAGGTCGCTGTCGGCGAGGGGGGGAGGGCGCCTGGCCTCCAGCAGCTGAGGCTCTTTTTTTTTGCCCGGCGCAGACGGGGCCGGACGAACGCAGGTAATATTTAGAAGCAGGTTCGACTTCCCACTACACGCAGTTCATCTCAGCATAAGCTTTAACTTCTTGACGCTCCGCGCGGATCTCTTGGACCCGCGCTGGGGCCTCCTGGCGGCGCCTCCGGCGCCGCCCCTGGCGCGCTCCGCGAGCCAGGGAGCGGGGTCTAGCGCAGATCCAGGAAATCCGCGCGGAGCGCCAAAAGTATGCTTATGCCGCTGTTCCTTCTTCCGAGGTCGGCCTTGCCGGATCAAGGGTACCCTCGTGTCCTGTGGCTCGCGACCCATACCCTCTGCGTTTCTGTGGCAGCGTGGCCCTCGGCGAGGGTCTTGTGTCCTCTCGCGTGTCCTCCCCATCATGGCGAACGAGCAACACACACCCATACCCACAGGGGGGTCGTTGAGAGGAGGACGGGCTATGGGTATTGGTGCGGGTTGTCGGACCCTGGAGAACTCTCCCGTTCGAGCGGGGACCCCCATCCGACAACACGCATCCATAGCCCTCTCCGACCTCCCTATGGATATGGGTGCGCGGCTGCCGGGCGCGTTCGGCACCTGCTCTCTCGACTCTGCAGCGCTTTTTGTTGCGGCGTCGCGCGTCTCGCTGGGCGCCGCGTGCCGCCCCCGCGCAGCCCCCCTGCCGAGCCGCGAGGCGCCGTGGATCGGCAATGGCAGCGGGGCCGCCTCGCCCCCCCCACCGCAGGAGGCCGTGGCCCCCGTTCTGTTGGGGGCCCTCTGGCTGCCCTGCCCGGCGGGGGGCCCAGGCCAGGGGTGCGGTGCTCGTGGGGCGCGGGGATGCGCGGGGGTGCTCGTCAGGCGAGTCGCCCCAATCATGGTTTTGGGGGAAGCCGTCGTAGGGGGGAGAATGGAGGAGGAGGAGGAGGAGGAGGAGGCGCAGGGAAGAGGGGGGAGGACGGAGGAGGGACGAGGCGGAATATGCGGATGAGGAGAAGAGGAGAAGGAGGAGAAGCAGGAGGAGGAGGAAGAGGAGGAGGGCAAGCAGAAAGGCCAGAGCCCTCTTGGATGCCTCTCGGGGTCTCGTCGGATGTCTCTCGCGAGCGTTTTGGAATCCTCTTGGGGCGTATCGGTGACCACAAGGCGGTCCCAGGAGCCTGTTGGAGCGTCTTAGGTGCCTTGAGGCAGCCTTTCCTCTCCTGTTGGGGGTCTCTTGGGAGCCTCTCGGGGGGGCCCTCTTGGGGTCAGCTTAAGAGCCTTGGGGGTCATCTTGGGGCCATCTTGGAGGAGTCCTCGCGGCTCCCTGGGGGGCTGCGAAGTGTGATGTTGTCGCAAGTTTCGTTTGTTCCTGAGAGGCTCAGCGGAGTAGATCTGTAAATGCACCCAGCCGAGACCTCGCGGCTCCCTTGCGGGAGCTTCGACCTGTGCAATTGATACTCTTTCGTTGGCTCCTGGGAGGCCCAGAAGAGGGGAGTTGTAAACACCGAGCCGAGACCCCGCGGCTCCCCTGGGTGGTTGCAACTTGCGCAGACGTCCCTGGTGCCGTGGGCTCCTGGGAGGCCCAGCGGAGTGGAGTTGTGAACGCACCGAGCCGCGACCTCGCGGCTTCTCGTGGGGGGGGGCTGCGAAGCGTAAAGTGTTGTCGCCAGTTTCGTGGGTTCTTAGTGCTTTGCGCGGCCCGCCTAGCTCTTAACCGGAAGAGGCTCGCTCTCGACCCGCAGACCAAAAAACAGATTCGTGGGCTCCTGGGAGGCTCAGCGGGGTGGGTTTGTAAACGCATCCAGCCGAACCCCGCGGCTCCCTTGCGGGGGCTTCGAACTGTGCAATTGTCGCCACTGTCGTTGGCTCCTGGCAGGCTCTCAGAGGAGTCGCCGTCGTGGGTCTGTCGTTTGGCTCCTGCTGCCCTCGTGGGTCGTCTTGAGACGTCGCACACTCCAAAAGGCGAGAACCTGGAAAACATGCTAGAACACCTACAGACAATCTATGCTATTGCCACTGGAGGCCCTCTTGGGACGCCTCGAGGGCCTCGTGGGCCGTCTGGAAGCCATCTTGTGCAGTTCTGAGACCGAAGTGGTCCGCCTTGGAGTGATGTTGGGCCGTCTTGGAGGCAGTTGGGCCTCGGGGGCGCGAGTCTGTAGTCTTTTGCAAACGCTTGTGGCGGAAAGAGGGAGTGGTGCATGCGGCTGGGCGCGTCCCGATGGGAGGTGGTGGCCCTCAGACATCTACAGAAACCCTGCCAAATGGCAGCTGGCATTCTAGCACGCCCGAACGTGCCAGGAGGCACGGTGGCGGATGGCGCGCGGAGCACGCCTGCATTGCACGGTCGCCGGCACTTGGAGGTGTGTTCTTACAGCGGGTCTTTTTTGACGGGAATATCGTCGCGAGCTGCACAGATGATATTTCGTGCAGTTTAGATGTGTTTGCACATGCCCGCCTTGTCTTGGATTGCCCCACTCCAGTGTTCTCTTTGCTCATCGTTCTCCGCAGCTGCGTCGCGTGAAGCTGGCTCGCGGAGGATTCTTCAGCAGTGTTCCGAAAAGTCCAGCAGCGATTTCAGGAGCGTCTTGGACAGCGGTGCTGTCAAGGGCGAAGAAGTCCGGGTCTGATCTTTAAGGCGCGTTCGCCCATGTCAGGCCTCCGCCAGCCAGGGTCTCAGTGCCCGCAGGCGTGCTGGCTGCGGCAGGGAGGGCGTCGAGCTCAGAACAAGTGCTGGTCGTCCTCGCGCGTGCCCGAAGGCCCCGACCCACGGCACGGAGGGTGCCCTTGTTTTATCTCTGCGGGCCGTGGCCAGAGCCCACGCGACGCTGGGCCTTCCTCGGCGCCGCCCGCGTCCCGAGCGGTCTTACTGCGAAGGAAGCACTAGAGATGACGAGTGCCTTCCCCAAGGGCCATGTCCAGATGCACCCCTGGACTTGCCAGGGAGGCAGTGGGTGGCCCGCGGGATGCTTACACTGAGGTGGCGAGGGGTGGAGCGCGTTTTAGGCTGAGTCTGCGCACTACAGTCGGGCCCTGCAGAAGGAACCCTTTTGGTTGGGGAGGGGCTCCGCGTTCCTTAAGTGTTTCACAGCTTGCCTCGGGTTTCCCTTAGGTTTTTCGAACGGAAATCGAGGTTCAATTTGTGGATAGAAGGGGCCTCGTTCCTTATTTCAGGTTCCTTGGGTCTGCGCTCCGACTGTACTGAGGTGGCGAGGGGTGGAGCGCGTTTTAGGCTGAGTTTGCGCATTACGTCCCAGTGGCCAAGGTGATGGAGGAGGAGGGGGACGAGGGGGAGGAGGGCATTGCATGTGACACATGCGACTGGAACGTGATTGTTTACTTTCGAGCTGGACTTGAAGAGTTCTGCCGCGTTTTTGAGCACACGGATGTTGCGCACTAAGTGAACATGATTGTTTAGTTTCGAGCTGGACTTGAAGAGTTCTGCCGCGTTTTTGATCACATGGATGTTGCGCATTGAGTGAACGTGATTGTTTAGTTTCGAGCTGGACTTGAAGAGTTCTGCCGCTTTTTTGAGCACATGGATGTTGCACACTAGGTGCTGCATTCTGCTTCGTAGTTGGAACTGTAACACTATTATATGCGCTCGATTGTGAGTTCCATCATGGCCAAGGCTTTGCGATCAAACGTGGCCTTCAGCATGTCAGTGTTCTTTTCTTTGACTGCGTGCGGAATCGCTTCGCGGGGCCCCTATTTGACCATACATTGTGTTGGCCTTTGGCCAGTGCCGCCGATCCGGGGCGCTCCGGATAATGATGATGATGTTGTTGATGATTATGATGATGTTGTTGATGATGATGATGATGATGATGATGATGATGATGATGGTGGTGGTGATGATGATGATGAATGTGATTATGATGATGATGATGATGATGATGATGATGTTGATGTTGATGATAATGATGATCTTTATCATGGTAATGGCCAGAGGGCCATCTTGGGCGTCTTTGACCGATCGTTCGGTGATTCGGGATTTTCTTGAGCCGTCTTGAGGGCCTCTTGGGGCCCTGTTGGCCCGTCTTGGGCCTTTCTTGGGCTCGAACATGTCATTCGGGAGCATTCTGTGGGCCCCAGAGGGGCGCGCGGGGAGTCTCAAGCGATTTGAGAGTTTGGGGCCGGGGCCCATTAAGAATCTTCAGGCTTGAGGATTGAGGCTCAGGGGATTGAGCAAGGGACCTGGGGAAGCCTCTTGGGGGTCGTTTGGGGGCCTCTTTCGGGCCTCTTGGGGGCCTTCTGGGGCCTCCTGGGGGCTTCTTGAGGGCCTGTGGGCCCCCCGCCCCCGAGCACTAAATGCGTCGGGAAAAGCGCTCCCCCTTCCAGAGCCTCTTGGGGGTTTCTTGGGGGCCTGTGGCCCCCCCCGCCCCCGAGCACTAAATGCGTCGGGAATGGCGCCCATCCCCCCCTCCCCCGCCCCTGCAGAGCGAAGCATGAGCGAGCTCAAGTCCACGCTCTCAGAAACTCACACGCTGGATCGGCGGACTTGTTTGGTGGAGTTGGGCATTTGCATCTCGCAGCAGCCCGTGAGTGATGTCACGCCTTCAGGAAAAACTTTCCTTGAACGTCAGCATCAACATCGCCAGCGGCAGCTGTCATACATTTGGTCGTTCTGCTGTCGTAAACTTTACGGCAACAGAGCACACATTTTGAAGCGCACTCGCCCGCTTCGAGTTCGAGCATAGTTTAATCAGCCCGCTTGAAGTGCACGGTCGCCGGCACCCGCCAATTAGGGTCTCTTTTCCCGCGGTCGTGTTAGCTGTGTCAGCGAGGGCGTAGAGCTCAAAAAGTGTCGTGTTCGATCACAGCCCGCGTAGCCCGCCTGAAGTGCACGCTGGCCGACACCTGAAGGTCTGATCTTATAGTGGGTCTTTTTGGACGCGAGTGTTGTCTCGAGGTGCGCGGAACATCCTGGACCGCGTTCCTTCCAAGAGGTGCTCGTCTGAATAGCAGGGTTTCCTTTCAAGTTGTTTGCTTCCAGTCATCGCAATCGTTGCCGCACGGGTTTTTCAAACCAGGTTGCGGATGGGTGGGTGAGATGATTGCGCGAGCAGTGGGGTTGACATCTTCAAGTTCGGCAAAGTGATTTGCCCCACATCGCGTGCACCACGTGGTGTGAACCTCATCTATTGCAAAACTTTCAGTGTACCACATGGATAGCGCAACGTATATGCCACAACATGGATTGCCAGAAGCACCCTGATTGGGGCCAGCGCTAGCTAACACACACACACACACACACGCATGTAGATTCATTCACGAGACGAATGATTATCTATCTGTGTATACATATATGTGTTTATATATATATATATATATATATATCGGAGATTGATAAACCTCCTACTCTGCCACGTCGATTAAGGAATTGGCCGTTTTCGGTTCGCAAGAGGGCGTCGCGGCCGTCATGTTTGCGGGTCCAGGTCCGTCGGTTTCGGTCCCAGGGCGTTTTCACTAAGGGGAGGTCTGCTAAAGGGAGGTTTGTCCAGCGCCGATACAATATATATATATATATATATATATATTATGTGTGTGCGTGTGTAGACATGTCACAGCCCCATGGAAACCGATAGTTTTACGAAACGGATCTGGCTTGATTCGGGGCCCGGCGGGCGGGGCTGTGTCGGGAGCGCCCCGGAACGGGGCCCCAAACGGTTCCACACAGATCCTTGACGGCCCCAAGACAGGCCAGCCACAACAGGGGGAGCTGTGTTCCTTACCCCCTGGGGGGCCCATCCATTTCGACACCCCTCTCGAGAGATCGTCGATGCGATGGGTTCCCCCAGGGGGGTAAGGACCACAGCTCCCCCAGCTATGGTTGGTCGGCAGGACAAGCCAAGAGGCATCCAAGAACCTGCTCGGACGGCCCAAGGGCTTGGCATCGCTCGGACGTGTGCAGTGTTCCTTCGGCGAGGACCATCGAGGAGCATCCTTGATCATTTGGCGGAAGAGCCACGCACGGAACCGAAAAAAATACAGGGAATGGACGTCCGAGCGATGGCGAGAGACAGGCCAAGAGGCATCCAAGAACCTGCTCGGACGGCCCAGGGGCGCCCCGAGTCGCATTCCGTTCGGTCCCAGACGCTCCAGATAGCTTCCAGACGGCTCAAGGGCCCTCCAAGATGTCCCAAGAGGCCTCCAAGAAACTGCCCCGTGAAGCTCCCAGAGGTAAGCATCGCCTCGCTCCCGTAGGAAACCATACATTTTGGCAGGTTCGATGCCT